AGCTGCTTATTCACTTGAATAGGTTGCGTTCAGTGGTGGTACTGCCCACCAAACACGAGGATCATTTTTGCTGTCCCGTGGTGCCTTTCAATGTGGTTGCAACATCTGTACACTCCTGTATGAATGTCTTTGCTTCTTAACTACTTTCCGTATATTCACCGTTCATAAATGGTGGCGGGTTGAAGTGGTTATATTATGCTATACTACAGTCATGCTTCTGGTATAGTTCTTTTCAGCTGGTGATTCTCTTTTATGTAAAAGTGATCCTAGCAGCTATACAGCCATTGGATCACTCTTACAGGTGGCAAAAGTGGGTCCCTTTGTGTTGCCGTGAACATCAGAGCAAGAGCATTAATTCTAGCACCAGACTTCCTGTGCAACTCTTAACTGGTAACAGTAAAGGCTTTAAAAGCGTCACCTTTGGAGATTTTTAGGTACCATAGTTTGGAACTGTTCTGTGGGTGTACGCAATTTTAAAGCATGACATGTTAGGTATATATTTACTCACCATAACATCATCTTTTATGTTTTACCAACAATCGTATTATATTGTGTTTGTGTTCACCAGAGCCCATCAGAGTGTATTTTTTTCTTCAAAATATGCGTTTGATTAACTGCTGTGCAAATATTGTGCTACATAAAATATTACAACCACCATTTTATTCTCCAGGGTCTCTGCTTAAAAATATATAACCTTTAGGGGCTCTAAAGTAATTTTCTAGCAACAAAATGCAGATTTTTACATAAATGATGAAAATATCAGAATTGGCCCATACTGGAACTAGTCAAGGAGGGGAGATACTGCGATAGTAAAAACATGACTCAACCATCTATTTTTAACCCCCCTCACACACACACTTTCCACTGGCAAGTGTAAACTAGGCCTTACCGATCTTGTCCCTCCCCCAGTGGACAGCACAAGAAGAAGCAGCAGATTACTAATGAGTTCATCTCTTTATCGCTCTGTCCCCTTTTCCTATCAGGACAAACCCTTGCTAGCACTGAGCACAACTGCTTTACTCTTTTTGCTGCTTCATCCTCTCCTAGTCTGAGCTCTGCTGTAGGAGGGGTTGCAAAAGGCTGATATCAAGTCAAAGACAGGTGCTTGCATTTAAAACATACATTTACTAATTTACATATGAATACCAAGCTGCCTTCACTTGTGTCTTTTATATTTGCTTGGGCTTGGGCTTTAAATGATGGTCCTACACTTAAGACGTAGAAAAAAGAAGAAAAGGGGTTTCCTGATCAGTAGCCAACATCCCCAAAATTAGAAGATAAATAAGGGGAAAAGACCCCCTATAGGACTTGGGACTTTGAAGGCATAGATGTATACTGAAAAAAGTTTTATAAAAAGTACAAGCTTTTAAATGTGTAAAAAAATTATTTTAACATGTAGACATACCATACAATACATCATCCAAAGTCCTAGTACAGCATCATCAAAGTATTAATTGCATGATAAGCATACCCAGTATGACTATGTTTGATTAGCCATTAAAAATGTTGTAATGTCACCATCCATACATATGATGAGATAGTTTCTATATGATCCAACGCGTTTTGGAGTGACTTCATTCCTTCTTCAGGGAAAAAGAAGAACTCTGCATATGGGTGACATCATCTACAAGATTGAACATATATTTGTTTGGAACATTTCTTGTATCCATTCCAATATTTTACAATTTACAATCTGTAGATATACTCACAATACATAAAAGTGCAACTATTTTTTCTGCACTATACTCACAATACATGAAAGTGAAACTATTTTTTCTGCACTTGATGTATTGTGAGTATATCTACAGATTGTAAATTGTAAAATATTGGAATGGATCAAGAAATGTTCCAAACAAATATATGTTCAATCTTGTAGATAATGTCACCCATATGCAGAGTTCTTCTTTTTCCCTGAAGAAGGAGTGAAGTCACTCCGAAACGTGTTGGTTCATATAGAAACTATTTCTGTAATCATATGTATGGATGGGGATGTTACAACATTTTTAATGGGTAGTCAAACATTGTCATACTGGGTATCCTTATCATGCAATTAATACTTTGATGATGCTGTACTATGGCTTTGGATGATGTATTGTAAGTAATGTTTACATGTTAAAATAATTTTTTGACACAATAAAAAGCTTGTACTTTTTATAAAACTTGTTTTGGTATACATCTATGCCTTCAAAGTCTCAAGTCCTATAGGGGGTCCTTTCCCTTTATTTACACTTAAGATGTATTACGTTAATATACAAGAGGGATCTAGCATGTTATATATAGGTTGAGATAACTGATCCCATTGTACCTATTAACATACTAACAACACTGTAATAAAACCAGCACTGACAAAGTGAGATCATAACTGCTGCCGAAATAATTAAATGCAAACAATTTGTCATTTTTTGCTGAGGCACAATTTATTCAATGCAGCCTTTCCATGACGTTTACACAAGGAACACCAGGCGAGAGAGTAATCCATAATGCTGAGATCTTTCTCTTTTATATATCCTTTGGTTACTGCAATTACAAGTCATTTTATAAAGGATTTTCAATTTTTAAGAAAGCACACTTTTGTACTTGATCCAGCTAAAGGGATTTTCTTACATTACTCCCTATAAAAAAAAAACATCTTTAAACTTGTAATGTTATTTTCTTATTCATTAGTGTGGGTGCCTGTAGGGCACATTCCAAAATGGGTTAAAGTTACAAAGTTATGCTTATAAAGGCTCATGGTAATTTTGAGTATCAGGAGGCTTTTTTTTATTAATTTTCAAAATCTTAAAAGAGCAAAAGCTAAAAAGAGATTGGATTAAGTATATTCTTGCACACAGTTATTCTAAACACCCTTAAGGAGCACAGACCCGAGTTACAGAAGATATTATGCAAATGAGAATATATCTGAGTGCCTGCTAGGGTCGTTGATGTAATATTTTCCATGGTTAGTTAAACACATCAAGAAAAAGGGCTGACCTTGCTATAAAATAACATTAGAGGTATTTATTTTCAAAGTGTGATTTTTTTTTTCTTTAAATGGAATAGAAGAATATATCAATGGAGCAGAGAAGTCATTTTGCAAAACGGGATCTCATCACAAATAGCACACACATCAACATAGATTGCAATAATAACCGGCTTCTAGAGAGACCAAAGATTTCTTTCTTAATTTTTTTTTTTTTTATCTCTATCACAGCTCTGGTCTGGCTGCTAGCGGAGGATTATCACCACTCCCAGACGTTGCAAGCGATACAAGATGCTTTTCATTAGCGTGGGGGATGGTGAGAAGAAAAGCGACCTGGGGCCTCATTCACAAAACTCTGATAACGGGAAGCTTTAAGTAGGCTTGAGTGAATGGTTTACTTGACAAGTAATATCTGACGCTGTGCTGGGGATGAATCCTAAACAATTCATGTATTTGATGTGACTTTCCAGCACTTACATTTTGCTGTATGCTAATGAGCTCGTTTTGGGCCTGGAGCGAGTCATTTTTTTAAACCATTTCCATATAGACACATGATTAACTTTTTTTTTTCTTCAATTATGACTTCATTATCAATTAAATAAATAGGTGGAACTAGCCATGTGAGCAGGATAAAATGTTTAATATATACTGTATTTAACCTCCATAGCAGTCTGATTATGTCCATATTTCTGTGCTCAAAGCGGTAAATTTTTTTGCATGGAAATATGTATTTTTTTTATTGTAGGCCTGTAATTTTTAAGAATAACTCACTGAAATTTGTCTGAACAAGAGTCTAGTAAACATCCCGGGTATGTTAATGTTATAACTTGAAACATGAAATAATAAATTAGAATTTAATAAATAATCATAGAAAATAATAATATAATAATAAATTTAATTCAATAATATAATCAAACCAAAAACACTGAAATTTGAAATATAGCGCCAAGTTCGCACATCACTGAGCAAAGTTGCAAAATCGTTTTCAGTGTCTGATGACGAATTTCCCCACAAATCATTATCACTCAATTCTGCAAGTAGTTCTAATTTACTATCGCTGTTCTCTAGCCGGTCTAAAACCGATTTTGACCTAAAGGGACACTTTTTGGACGCCATGGACATTTCTCAGTTTCCAGGCAGAAAGAACGGTAAAAATGCAGGCAGGGCACAGGACAAAGCACTCGGGACAAAATGTATGTGAAATGGTTTGATACAGTAATGTTTTACTATGTGATTTTAGTGAATTTAGAGAAATTCACTTTTTGTCATTTTCAAATTTCCCACCAGTTCCGACCCCGTACGTCCCAACGCTCGCAGGGGACGGAACCCAGAAGACAGATGTCGGCATCCGCCGGAGGACATTGCCGGGGACACTGCAGGAGGGACATCGTGGGAGCGCAGGACAAAGCAAGTGAAGAACAGATCCTGGAGCAACGTTGAAAGGTATTCCCGAGTGTAGCTCGGGGTTACCGCTTGTGGTGCTGAAACTTTACCCTGAGCTACACTTGGGAATACCGCCAGGGAGGCTACTAATGGGGGTTTTCAAGTCAACTGTTAATAACCTTTTAAGGTTTTTTTTTAATTTTAACATATACAAGTTTAAATGCATTTGATGGTTATTCTTAAAGCCCAACTAAAGCTTAATAAGATTTTAAAAATATTTAAAGTTCTGCAGTAGTTACAATGAAAATGCAAGTTTTTCTTGTTTCTTTCTTCAATTAAAATAATCTGAAAAAGAAAAAGCACCTTTCACAGCAAAACTCATTCTATTTTTGTTCCTGTGGTCCAGTTTGGTCTTCTTCCTGGTTCAATGATGCCCAGTTCTTGTAAGCTCAGGGCATCAAGGACACTGCGACACTGTGGCTCTGAGGAAGAGGCAAGTCCTCGAAATCGTTAGCCTATTGGAGGTCCAGATTTCCCATTACGGACTGATACGTAGTGCGGATTGGAAAGTGCTGTTCTTTCATGATGTGCCTTTGACTGTATTGTCATTTTGTGAGAACAATACTCACTTTTATAATTTATTAAATACATTTTTAACCACTTCACATCCAAAGACTTTTACCCCCTTCCTGCCCAGGCCAGTTTTCAGCTTTCAGCGCTATCACAATTTGAATGACAATTGCTCGGTCATGCAACACTGTACCCATATGAAGTTTTTAGCGTTTTTTTGAGACAGATAAAACTTTATTTTGGTGGTATTTATTCACCACTGGGATTTTTATTTTTTTTTTGCTATATAAATAAAAAAGTCCAAAATTTTTTAAAAAGTGTTTTTCTTTTGCAAATAAATAATCTTTTTTCATAAACTTTGGCCAAAATGTATCCAGTTATCCTTTTAGTAAAAAAAAAATAACCCAAATTAGTTTATAACCAAAAATTATAATTTAAAAAAAATTGTTTTTACATTTTAAATTTATTTTTTTATATTATTATTATTATTATTTTTAACATACTGTCACCCTAGCAGTACAGTGTCACCATAGTGACACTGTACTACTTGTGGGGGGTGATGAAGATTTTTTTTTTGTACACTGATTGCTTTTACACCCATAAAGGCTGTAAAAGCAATCATTTCTCCTTCTCTCTGGCTGCATTCTTGCAGCCATTGAGAAATGCTATGTGAGCTGTGATTGGTCACAGCTTGTCACATGGTACACGGCTGTTGTAAATAGCTTTGTACCATGTGATCTCTGTGATCATTCACAGATTTCACACATAGTAAGCAATGATGTCAGAAGTGACATTTTGCTTACTACTATTCATGTGATCACTGATTGGCCAATCAGTGATCACATGATCGGGACCTCACACAGAGGGACCCATACAGCGATCGGTGTTCCGATGTGTCCAGAGGACACAGTGGGCACAGAATCGCGGTGCTGTGTGCTCCCAGGGAGATGGCACAGTCCAAAATGGCGGGCGCCGTTTATGAACAGCAACTCGCTCCTGCACTGTCCCCATCCAGCCGTTTATATACATGGGTCGGACGGGAAGTGGTTAAAGGTAATGCACTAGGCTGGTGCGCCCTCTGTTTGTTTTTCACTACTCAGTACATTTGGACTTCTCTGGTCATTTGAGGGCAGCAAGGCGTGAATATCCCAAGAAATTCATGATGTTTCATGATGATCCATATCCATACAGAGTTCATCCCTAAGAGAAGGAGTATCTGGGCTTGCTGTTTCTTTACTGTTGTATCAAGGACACTGCCCCTGGAGCTATATCGTAAAGCCTTCCTGTACTTACAAGAGCACTGCACAACGCATTACTGATGTGGCAGCAGTTGTTCTAGCATTCAAGACTTTGTACACAGAGAAAGAAGAGGACCTAAATCTTTATACACCCACTGGTTTCTTTATTAGGTACACCTGTTCAATTGCTTGGTAACACAAATTGCTAATCAGCCAATCACATGGCAGAAACTCAATGCATTTAGGTATCCTGACATGGTGAAGATGACTTGCTGAAGTTCAAACAGAGCATCAGAATGGGGAAGACTTTGAACCTGGCATGGTTGTTGGTGCCAGACGGGCTGGTGTGAGTATTTTAAAAACTGCTGATCTACTGGGATTCTCACGCACAACCATCTTTAGGTTTTACAGAGAATGGTCCGAAAAATATCCAGTGAGCAGCAGCTGTGTGGACAAAAATGCCTTGTTGATGTCAGAGGTCAGAGGAATATGAGCAGACTGGTTTGAGATGATAGAAAGGCTACAGTAACTCAAATAACCACTTGTTACATCCAAGGTATGCAGAATATCATCTCTGAATGCACAACACTTTGAAGCTTGAAGCAGATGGGCTACAGCAGCAGAAGACCACACCAGGTGCAATTGCTGTCAGCTTAGAACAGGAAAAAGGAGGCTACAATTCGCACAGGCTCATCAAAATTTGACAATAGAAGATCGGAAAAACGTTACTTGGTCTGATGAGTCTTGATTTCAACTGTGACATTCAGATGGTAGGGTCAGAATTTGGCATAAACAGCATGAAAGCATGGATCCATCCTGCCTTGTATCAACGGATCAGGCTGATGATGGTGGTATAAAGGTGTGGGGGATATTTTCTTGGCACACTTTAGGCCCCTTATTTCAAATTGAGTATCATTTAAACGTCACAGCTACCTGAATATTGTTGCTGACCAGGTCCATCCCCTTATGACTACAATGTACCCATCTTTTGATGACTACTTTCAGCAGGATAATGCACCATGTCACAAAGCTCAAATCATCTAAAACTGGTTTCTTGAACATGACAATGAGTTCACTGTACTCCAATGGCCTCCACAGTCCCCAGATCTCAATTCAATAGAGCACCTTTGGGATGCAGTGGAACGGGAGATTCACATCATGGATGTGTAGCTGACAAATCTGTATTAACTGCGTGATGCTATCATGTCAATATGGACCTAAATATCAGAGGAATGTTTCCAACACCTTGTTGAATTTATGCCACAAAGAATTAAGGCAGTTCTGAAGGCAAAAGAGGGTCCAACCCGGTACTAGCAAGGTGTACCTAATAAAGTAAATCCAGAGCCTGATCCTGCATCGCACCTATATCTTGCTCTCTATTACCCTCTCCCTTGTACCTGTACTCCTGATTGCAGTCCTGGTTCCACCCTTCCTTACATCTCCGGTATTTCCTGTGATCTGTGTTCCACATTTTGTATATATTGTATTATAGTTGGAGTGTTAGGTTTTTGGACACTTGTATCTTCACGTTTACTGTGTTTCCCTTTTGCTGGTATTTGAATGAATTTTGGTTTCACTGTAAATAAATCTTACTTAAAGTATACACAGTCTGGTGTCAGTTTCCTAAGTATAGCCACGCAGATTGATTCCTGACACCTGGGAAGATGCAGATGTATCTATCTATTAGACAAGTGCAGAACAGAAAAATTTGCTTAGTTTCCTTTCGGATAAATTTGTTATGTTACTAATTTTGTTTCAGAATTCGTTTAGTTTTGTTTCATTTTGTTTCATTTTCTAACAAATTCCAGATTTGCAGAACAACTTGAAATCAAATTGGTTTAAAATGTATTGAACAACCCGAATTCTGTGTAAAGAATAGCTGGTTGTTAAGGAGAGGGCTGGGAAGCCGGCTGTCATGTCCTTAACAACAGGTGACTCGTCAGCTGTCAGTGGGTTTCCCAACTTACAGCTGAATGTAAACAAAAGAAGTGTGGCATCCCCCTACGTATACCAGGCCCTTATCAAACCATGGAGCCTGGCAGGTCAGGAAAGTAGGGGATTGAGCGAGCACCTCCTCTGATACCTACTAGGCCACATGCCCTTAAAATTGGGTGGTGTTTTGGGGCAGGGGGGGCTCCTCCCCAAAGCAATTTGTGGGGGTCTGAGGGCAAGGGGTTATCAGAATCTGGAAGCCCCATTTAACAAGGTAGCACCCAGATCCAGCCCCCCCATGTGAATGAGTATGAGGTGCATAGTACCCCTACTCATTCACCAAAAAAGTGTAAAAAGGAAGTAAAAACACAACAGTTAATTAAAAAAACTCCAAAAAAACAAAAAAATGTTCCCTGAAGTAGATGCAACAGCAATCATGGTGAACGCCGGCCGCTGACCTGCAAAAAAAGAGAGCTCTGACCCAATGAAGACTCCTGCTGTCTGACAGCTCCACCATATGATGGTTCTTAAATACCTAAGGGGCAGGACCACCTGATGATGTCACCAAGTGACCCCTCCCCCTTGTGACATCACCTACCCAGCATGCCCGATGACATCACAAGGGAGCGAGGAAAGCTAGTGAAGACATAAGGTGGACCCGCCCCTCAGTTTTTTTTAATAACTCTCAGATGGTGGAGCTATCAGATGGCGGGAGCCTTCATCGGGGGCAGAGCTCTTTTTTTTTTTTATCCAGGTCGGTGACCGGCATTCATCGTGATTGTTGTTGGATCTACTTCGGGGGACATTTATTTTTTGTTTTGTTATTTAATAAAGGACTTGTCAAAACTGTTTTTGTGTTCAGTTGCACATTAAGCCAAAAGCCATGTTAATTATAAAATGTTGATCCTTAAAAATGGATTAAATAGAATGCCAAAACTTTATTAAAATAGCAGTAAATGCTTTGGCTTCATTTTACTTTACAAAGGTGAGCAATTATTCTGATTTGTTGATGTTGGCCACTTCCATTTACACATTCATTGCACATTGTATTGCCTTATGAAACAAACTTTTTTTTTATATTTTATGGTATTATTTTGTTTAATGATCAGATATGACACATGTTGACAGCTTTTACAACCTATGCATCCATATACTGTATATATGTAAACACCAGTCGTGAAGCCGGCCTTTTGACATACTAAATCAGCTTGCAGAAGCTGAGCGGGCTAAGGTTAATACTGTTGGCTAGCAGTATAACGGTCTTGTTATTAGGCAGCAGTATCTGTATCATTATTGGGCAGCAGGCAGACAGCTAATCTAATTAGTGAGCATAACAGTGGGCAGATGTGTGAAACAGCTTTACTGCAATAGTGGATTCCTTTCACATATACTTCTAACACCAAAGTGCTCACTACAGGAATACACACAGACCCTATAGGGTTGATTTTTACAAACTGAAATGAGCTGCCATTTGCAATCATATTCAGGCTATCATTTTTTTAGAGTTGGTTATACAATAGAAAAAGCTGTGATTAGTTCCTAAGGCTTATAGGCAATCTGTTTTATGATGGGAGTCTAATAATTGTGTTTACAGAAATGTATTTGCAATATCTAAATAATATTAGTAACATTAACCTGATCAGAATTCTTTTCAGTATAATTGTGAAGCATTAAACTGTTACCTAGCCCATACAGGGTAAAGTGACAGTGTATCTGCAAAGGGCATCTGATCTACAGTGAATCTGTGCTTGATCCATGTAGAGCCAAGCAAAGCCCATACACACCTCCACTGACACATATTCTTGCTTCCTTTTTGCTCCCCAGATGCTCTGTTTGTGGGCAGGGCCAAACCTTGGTACCCGGAGTGGAGAGAATGCATATGGAGACCAATGCAGAATGCAGTAAAACAAATGTTCTGACAATGTGGTAACAGGATCTGTGTCACTCCCGCCAGGGGATTGGCCAAGGTCCCTCAAACATTCAGATGAGGGCCACATACCAGTGACTGTTCATCTCTTAAAGTGGTAGGAATGGAGCCCCCTGTTCAGGAATAGCTCCAGATAGCTGGATGAAGAGAAGTTCATCTAGTGTCTGGGGTGGTACATTAGGAGAGGCTGGCTAGCTCTCCATCAGAGACTGTACTGCAGAGAAGGCTTGTAAATAGTTCCAGGATGTTGTCCTCAGTTTGTCGGTTTCCTTGAGCAAATCCTGTACACCCCTAACACTAACCCACTTCAAAACCCCTAAATAAAACATCAAAAACCAAAGCTCGATTTTTCGGGACACCTGGTGCCCCTGGCAATACTTTGTGTTCACAGACGCATATCTGAACTCCTCTTCCTGA